TTATCAAAAATTAAAATTAACAATAACACATTTACCATTGATAAAATAATTACCAAATACTAAAATAATTTTTAACTGCGAGACATATCCTTAGCTAAAAGCATAATAATTCAACACATCACTGCAAAGCAAAACATAAATCACATGTGACTTTGTAACAAGGACAAGTTTTGATATTGAAAAGTGCAGGCACATAACACATAGATTAAAGTTTAAAGAATAGTGCTCGCAATGGTCCTCACCGCTGCTGGTTCCTCAACTGTGTTTTGGTGCCACGACTTCTACTTCTTTGATTCAATAGAGGGAAGAACTTGGAAAGAAGACCATCAGTATATTTGCAATACCACACCCTCCATCTCTTGCATAGCATAAGTGGTAGAATGACAATTCCCAAGCCAAAAACAAATCCTAATTCAACGCTTAGGAAATTCCAGTCAATATGGGTTCCATCATCTGAATAATTGTCTTTAGATGGTGGCAATACATTAACACTGCAATTTTCCTTTAGGGGCATTTCACATAATCTCTTATTATCTTTAAAGGATTCTTCTTTCAAGTTGATTGTGTGAGAGGTTAAGGACTGCAAGGAAATTAAGATCTCTTTGATACTGAGGAATTTGATCACTCAAGTTGTTATTAGAAAGGTTCAAAGACTCAAAATGTTGCAAGTTTCTTAAAGATGAAAGGATTAAACCTGTAAAACCATTATGTGACAAATTGAGGGCATTAAGTGCCCTAAACTCTCCCAAAACCTCTGGTATTTGCCCTTCAAACTTGTTACATAAAAAGTCAATGGAGATAAAATGACTCAAGATTTTTACCAGTTGTCTCTCAGAACCTTTAACGATAATGATTACTGCATCTTGATAATAGAATACTTGAGAGATATCGGTGCCCTCCCAACCCTCCCAATGTTTTTTTGTAGAGAGTACTTTATCCATTAGGATACAATGTTTCATAGATTCCACTGACATTAAATTCAAAATTAATTTCAAAATGATCCTTAAGGACAAGGATTTTGAACTCATTTGAGGCAACCATCATTGCCTTCTAGGTTTGTAACCAATGACAAGGTAGTTCTCCCCTAACAGCACGTTTGGGATGCTGGACAGGATATGACTGGACAAGATTAAAATAATAGGATAAGATTAGATTAGATAGTATTAATTATATGATATCTAATCTTATATTTGGAGTGTAGTAGGATTGGATATAAATATATATGTTTATGGACAAAAATACCCTTATAATGTAATATAACAATAATTTTAAATTTTTTTTAAAATTGCAATTTTATTTCTTATAAATGCAAAATCAAGAAAATTGAATTAATTTAAAATAATTTAAACAATAATATGATTCTGATTTATTAATAAAATTAATTTTCATTAATTTAACTTATTAACAAAATTAATTTTCATTAATTAACCAAACAAATTCTGTTTCCTTATTTAATTATTTAATTTATCAATTATTATTAAATACTTTTCTTTCTTTTTTTTTATTTTCTCCAAAGCAAGCAGAAACCCGAATGCCTCCTTCATCTTTCTATTGTTCATCTTCTTCAACAGGTCTAGGGTACCTTTTTTCAATCACAGATTTTGGTATTTAACTTGATTTTCAGCTGGGTCCTTTGATTTCAACAAAAGAAAGGTTGAATTAGGATGAAGAAATAGGGAAGCAATGTGCGAAGTTACTAATAGCGAATCTTCCCATTTTTGCTGATAACGCCATCGGACCACCTTGCTAGAGATGAAGATGATCGGATTTTGCAGTCGATTTTCTGATGATCGAAGAGACTTTGTTTTCTCTGCACTAGATCTGTGAAGCTGTCAAAGATATAGATCTAACTGGAGCTCCATTTTCTCATACCAAAGTTAAGAAGAGGAGAGACGAGCCATCAGGAAGAAAATAGTGAGAATAAAGGGGTAGAATCAGTAAATTGAATCCAATCCATTCGTATCCCATGGGTATGGTGGGATTGAATTTATCTGGATAAATCATTGGATACTATTTATCTTATCCCGGGTACCCTCCAAACATGAGATAAAGTTGGACAAGATAATTTTTTATCCAAACCCGCAATTTGTCCAGGCCTCCAACTCCAAACGAGCAGTTAAGGACTTATCCATACAGATACAGGGCAGCAGGTAAACTCCTCGATCAGGTTTATAATTTCTTTTATGTCATCTGCTTTTAGTCACTATAAGCAAGTCCAATTTTGTTGTGGGCGAGGTAAACATGTGTTGGGGAATACCTATAATCTTTCCATGATTATGTAATTTGCTATCATTTAGCACTTTCTTGTCTGCTTTCGATCTACAACATTAATTTAGTCAAGGTACTCCAAAACTAACTAGTTACATAGACTTTGTCCCAGAATAATTTCTAACACGAAGTTCTGCATTACCAGTTCTAATGGATGATTACAAGGAAGATGAGGCCATTGCAGAGCTAACAAAAGTAATAGGTTTCAAGCTAGACCTGCAGCTACTGCATCTTCGAGCTGCATTTTATGATTCAGTGGGTGACCATGAATCTGCCATCAGAGATTGTGAGGCAGCCCTGTGTCTTGATCCTGGTCATTCTGATACTCTTGAGCTATATAACAAATTCTGCGAGCAGGTCTAGGAACAAGAAAATCAACAGGAATACCTGTGGACAATCATATTGTTGACACCTTTTTCTTCTTTCAGATTCTTTTTGTTCCACTAGATGATGGAAGGTCAGCATATTTTAGATTTTGCCTCTGGAAAAGTGAGAAGCAAGAAGAAAGAAATTGACACTAGAAAAGCTAGCATGTACATATTTTCCCTCTTGGTTATGGATTGGATGACTTGACATAGACAATAGCAATTCAGAGATGCAGCCGCCGCTTCAATCTTTAGCTCCAGCAAAGCCGCAAAGGGGGTGAAATATACGACAGAAAATAGGAATCATGTAAATGAAATGGAAGCATTCCGAAGAAGTCTTCCAGTTTTGCAGGTTTTATGATTTGTTGTTCTTTGGTTACATGCATATGCATTATAACTCCTCCCAGTATTTTGTTGTATTACTAAGCTTGCAATTTTCCCCTCCACAGAAAGGGGTAATTCATACATTTATATCCAGAAGTAACGTGTATAAGCTTATATGCCGATAAAGATTAACTTAACATATAATTAGTAAAACTTAAACTCTCGATCAATTATATTCAAACGTTTAAATTTAAGAACAAACTATTAGATCCGACCGAATAGAAGGATGGAGTTGATGCTTGCCAATTTTATAACTAAAGCGCATCAGCCCACTAAAGGGCCCAAAAGATTTTTATTTTTCAAAATATTTTAATTTTAGAAACGTCTCAATCAAAAATCAACACGTGCTGTGCATTTCAAAATTTAGGGTTCTTGGAGTTGGTGATCTCGGGCAGTTCGGGCAGCAACGAAATCCCTACCCGTTTGTCTTTTCTCCCTCACTTCACTTCGCTTCCTTCCTCCCGCTTCTTTCCCTGCATTCGAAATCATTAAAAAATGCCTTCATCAACATAGCTCTCTCACTCTCAAGTCCCAACACACTGATCTCCGGTGCTGTCTCTCTTCTTCTTCTTCATTCTCCTTCGCTCGAGCAAGTATCGACGACGGAGGGTGAGTCTGTGCTTCTGCTTCGGAGGGAGAAGAAAAAGCCCTAGGTTCTCTTTAGTGCGTTTTCGAATTTTGAATCTCGTCAGTTCGTCGGATTTTGATTTCAGGTACTTCGTTTTGCTTAATAAGCATCTATGGCTTTCGATTTTCGTTCTATTAATTAGATCGAGGAGTATCGCTTTTTTCGCCAGTGGTTTTAGTGTGCTAGGGTTTTCGTTTGCTGTTTTATGAAGTACCAGTGGAATCTGTTATAATTTGAGGTTTTTATTTGCTATTTTCTTCTGTTTCTCGCTTGGAGATCTATCGCCTTTCCTTGCTTTTGCCCATTTTTTGTTTGTAGATAATACTTGGAGGACGGAAGGGAAATCGTCTTCTATTGCTTCAATTTGTTATTGGCGGAAACATTTTTGGTCTCTGAATATTTGAGCTGAAATATAAAACAATAATAGAAGATTAACAACGAAAATATGTTGTAATTTTGCTAATAATGGGCATGAAGGGAAATGGATATTAGTGGAAACATTTTTTATATCTGAATATTTTAGTTGAAATATAAAACAATAATAAAAGATTAACAACGAAAATATGTTTAATTTTGCTAATAATGGGCATGAAAGGAAATGGGTAATTTTCAACTTTTCTCATATTGTTAATGAAGGACAATGGGTAATTTAGTGGGTTGTTTATACTGCATTAACATAACTGTTGCCAATTTTGAGGCCATAAAATGGTGTTCATGTGAAGTACCTGGTTCAAGGAATACAGCTAACTTTGAATTGATTGAGCTTCGTCACTCAAAGCTGTGTGGTCTATTCTGTTTGAGTTCTCACGTTTAATGTGGTGTTGCTGATTATTTTTATGTATTTAGGTGACTTAACATGTATTTGTAGCAACAGTAATTTCTCAAGCAGCTCTTTTTCTCTGGAATGATAAATTTCCCTTCACCTCCTGGTTATGGTATGTGATAGCCCAAATTTCTGATTTATCTTTTATGTTTTCTGTTTTAGTGTGGATATATGGCTATGGAGATCACCCAGTTTTTGTTGGCTGCCCAAGCATTGGATGCTAAAGTTCGAACAGAGGCAGAGGCCAGTCTAAGGCTGTTCCAGGAGCAGAACCTTCCTGTTTTCTTACTTTCATTGTCAGTTGAGCTTGCAAACAATGAGAAACCAACTGAATCTCGTAGGTTGGCTGGTCTTGTGCTTAAGAACTCGTTAGATGCAAAAGAGGATGCTAGGAAGGAACAGCTTGTTCAACAATGGATGGAAATTGACATTTCTATCAAATCTCAAATAAAAGACCTGCTATTGAGGACTGTTGGGTCATCTGTGCCTGAAGCAAGGCACACTTCTGCACAAGTTATTGCCAAAATTGCTTCAATTGAGATTCCTAGGAAGCAGTGGCCAGAACTTATTGGATCATTGCTTAACAATATGACTCAGCAAGACAGCTCCACTGCTTTGAAACAGGCAACCTTGGAAACTCTTGGATATGTTTGTGAGGAAATATCTCATCAGGATCTTGTGCAAGAAGAAGTGAATGCTGTTCTCACTGCTGTTGTGCAAGGCATGAATCTTGCAGAACATAGTCTTGATGTTCGCCTTACAGCAACAAGGGCTTTGTATAATGCCCTGGATTTTGCACAGACCAACTTTGAGAATGAAATGGAGAGGAATTATATCATGAAGGTAGTATGTGAGACAGCCATGTCCAAAGAGGTGGAGATCAGGCAGGCTGCTTTTGAGTGTCTTGTTGCAATAGCTTCAACTTACTATGATGTGCTTGAGCCTTATATGCAGACCCTATTTGAGCTTACATCAAATGCAGTAAAAGGAGATGAAGAGGCTGTTGCACTCCAAGCGATTGAATTCTGGAGCTCTATTTGTGATGAAGAGATAGAACGCCAAGAATTTGAATCTCTTGAGAGTGATGAATCTGGAAC